GGGGCCTTTGAAGTGAGGGACCCAACCCAGCCCACCCCATCCCCAGTCAGAACCCAGCGAGGCCCACCACCCTGAAGGCAGGTGTGGGGCACGGGGGGGGGCACACCCCGGGGGGCCTGCCCTACAACAGGCGCCCACTGCGCACAAAGGCCCCCAAGAAGCCCTGTCCTGCAGCTCACGCTGGCCCAGAGCCCTCCGAACTGGTGCTCTGTGAGCAGCTCAGGGGAGGAGACCCCTTAGCCGGGAGGGAGCTGAGCAGAGGGTCTGCAGGCGTCAGACCACAGCTAAATGTGGACAGAAGGGTGGGATTCAGCCCGGCGGGGAGGCCCTGGGAGGGCACACCCACCCCAGCCTTATCCTCCCAGACCTGCCCCCTGTTCCTGTCCTCAGTCCCACCTGCAGCCTCAACTGGACAGGGCTGCAGGCCACCCTCCACACCACCCTCCCCAAAATGCCGCCGCCACCGGCAATAAACCTGCACAGCCCACTGCCCTCACAAGCACGTTCACCCCCTCCCGGAGTCCCCGTCCAGGTTCTGAGCCCGGCGCCGTCCTCCCTGCCCTCCTTCCTTCCCGATCCCACTGGCGTCTCCAGCTCCAGGACTCTCCCATCCCTCCTCTTTCCAGCCCCTCAGCTCCTTCCCACGAGGAAAACTCTGCCGTCTCTGGTGGCACAGACAGCCCTGATGAGGCCACCGGACTCCTGCTCCAGGGACAGCCCCTCCCAACAGCTGAGAGAAGACTCAACCCTGTTCTGCTCTTTCTAGTCCCAACCACACGCCATCTGAAACACTCCTTCACTGCTCCTGAGTGTTATTTCTGCCACTCAATTACGAAGCCTGATCAAGCGCACCCACGGGCCTCTCTGGGCTCCCGTCCCCGGCGGTGGAGAAGGGAGGGGGGCCCAGGCCTCACTTCTGGAGAGCACACCCCCCCCCCAGAGGCAGAGCTCACGAGGACTCGCTCCCAAGGCCCAGGCAGCCGTGGTTCCCGAGTCTGATCACAGTGTCGCCTGGGTTCTCAGACCCGGGGAGTCAAGACTCCAGGGAAGGGCCCGGGGGTCTGCTCTGTGAGGTCACAGCAGGTTCTGATGTGGCGGGCTGGCCTTCAGACACCCCGGGCGCAGGACTGTCTGCCCTGGGAGCCGCCCTCCCTCCCTCCCTCCTACGAGATCCTGGCACCTGGCACCCAGCGAGCCCGCCTACAGTCCCCTCGGCCGGGGAGGGGGACCTCACAGCAGGAAGCACCCGAAGGATACGCTCGGGCATTTTCCACCAGGGGCCCCTGTCCGGACACCAGCAGCCGTCTCTCATGGTGCTGTGAGAAGAGCTTCATGGGGCTGTGGGCCAGGATGACCTGGTCGGGCTCCACCTGCAGTGGCCGAGAGAGGAGAGCAGAGGAAGCCAGCAGGTGAGGGGAGCCAGCAGCAAGCTCCTCCACATGGGGAGGGAGCCTGCCCAGAACCAGGAGGGGAGCCCAGCACTTCCACAGCGGTCTCAAGGTCCCAACAGGCATGACCAGCAGGAGATGCCGCTAGCCCCAGCCCCGCCCCGCCCAGCCCCACGGGGGCCCCGGGCTAGTGCAGGGCTCCGATCTGCCTCTGCCTGCTCTCAGTTCTACTCACACTTGGCTTTCAACACCTCTGCCAACTGCAGCCACGCAGCCCTCCCTCTCCAGACCCCGCAGGAGGAGCCCGTTTGTCCCTCTGGCCCGTGCCCATCCCCCAGCTGTGTCGCGCGGGGTTACTTTGGGTTCCAGAGGACTCCTTTGAAGCCCACGCCCGCTGCTAACAGAGGTCAAGTGGGCCTGCGGCGGGTGAAGAGGGACGGTGCACTGAGCAGTGTCACTGTCTTTATGAGAAACGAGAGCTCTCACTTCAGAGTCGCACCTGGTGTGCAGAGATTTAGAAAAATGTGGCCCTGGCTCCCCAGGAGCTGAGAATCCAAAAGACAGCACCCCGACACCCAGGAGAAAAGAAACAGTACAAAGACAGTGGACGGACACGGGGGGGGACTTCTGTGCGTAACTCGTACGTTTACATGAGTGGTGACCCTGCAGAGAGGCTCCATGTCACAGTGTGGCCTTGAACGTCAAGTATTTTCCCAACAGGGTCTAAAGAGCTGTACTGACAACTGGCCACAGCCTAGAGTTTATCAACACCGCCCTTACCCGGGGCGGGGGACCAGTCCTGGAGGGGGCTCCCCGTCTCCGCTGCCCCCTCACCTGGAAGCCCAGCAGCGCCGACAGCTCCTGGGCTCGGCTGTGCTGCAGCATGTTCCCCGCGTTGGTGACAAAGACCACGGGCACCCGCAGCTGCCCCTGGGGGCTCACCAGCCTGCGGAACGCCTCCCGCGCAGCAGGGATGATGCTGTGGCCCCGAACCAGCACCCCATCGATGTCCAACAGGAACCCAAAGGTAGGTGGGCCCTGCACACGGGGAGAGAACAGAGCGGCCCTGAGTCGGAGGTGGGGGGTGCTCAGACAGACAGGAGGACCTGGGGTTGCCCGCAGGATGGCCCCACAGGGCAAATCCATCTGTAACAAAGAGTCAGGCCTTTCCAGATATTTTTAAGCATATACTTACTTTGTTAAAATTATTTCTGCCTAATTCACATACAGAAATTTTTTTCTGAAACAATCCCAGCATTTCAACACCTCTGGTCAGTACTTCCTTCCCTTGCTTCCTTATCCTTACGCTGGTCACGTGGCTATGACCGCCCCTCATGTGTAGTTTTCTGCTGGACATAAAGCGCTTTTATGTGACAACAGCCTCACAACCATCTTTTAAAATTTTGCTTTATCAGAACAACACACACAAGGTTAAAAGAAAAAATACACTCAATTGCTACCGACAATAAAGGACAAATCTGAGTTTCTCGTCTCCTCTTGCACCCAGCGCTGTTCCCTCTCCTGCGTACCTTCCAGGAACTTCCCAGGGCTGGCACTGGCCCCACTCCTCTGCTCGCACACAGGGACTCTGTGCTGTGCCCTCTGCTCCGTTCCCCTCCTCTTGGTGGCTTTCCTTCTGTATCAGCCCTACCCTCCCACCACGTCGTTTCTGGCCACACATTCTGAGTGAATAACCCACTAACATTAGGGATCCCCTATTTTGGACATTGGGGTTTTTCCACATTTTTGCTACTACAGATGATGCAATAAGGAATCTCTTCATGCTTGCTGACTTTTCCACATTACAGATTTTTCCTGAAGCTAGATTCTTGAACGCTGGAGTAACAAGCCAAAGGAGTGCAGACATGGTAAAAACATGACAGCTCGCATGGACCCTCGTATCCTTGCCAGGGATGATTTTCACACGGATCAAAGAGTTTGTTAAAAATCAAACATCTTGTAAGTTCCAAGTTAAAAGGGAAAAAAAGGCTATCTCATCTCATCTGCATTTCTTGGATTTATAAAATTGAACACTGCCCTCTTTTTAAAAAATCACCCCATTTCTTATTATGAGCTGTCAACATACAAGATGGTTTTCAACTGTTAGAAAAATCCAACCCGATCTGTTTACCATTTTCCTTCTGTTGCTGCCATTTAGGTCAGGCCACTCTCACTGCCTGCTCATCGTGGTTATGCTCAGAATGCCCTGATTTTCTTAGCGGCACACACAGAGAACTTAGGGTTGAAATGACAAGAAACCAGGGATTTGTTTTAAAATCTTAGAACCAATAAAAAAAAAAGTGGGCAGGGTGATAAGTAAAGAAATTGTGACAAAACATTAACAGCGGCTGAGCCTAGAAGAAGGGTCTGTGGGTTCATGCTGTTCAGTTGTTGGGTTTCTGAAAACTCACATAGTTTAAAAAAAATTAAACAGCTGATCTGTGCTAATGACTGCAAAATTCAACCACGCGGTCTTAGCTAGTGGCCACATCCTAAAGAGGCACAAGGTCTGCTCTCACAGACATGAGACCCCACAGACCCTGCTGCTTAGAACAAGTTTCAGGGCAGTTCAGCAATGTTCTCAAGGCCCCCTTGTCCACTGCTGGGCAGTGCGCCATCACCAGCTCCGACCCCCAGACACGCACACACAGAGAACCAGGCACCCAGCGACCCAGCAAGTAAAGGTCCCTGACAGTTGTAACAAACATGCCACCATGAGCTGTTGAGAGGGAAAACCAGGAGAGAGGGTGTGTATGCACGGCTTCTCTTCCCTTTCTGCTCAGTTTCTCTGAAGAAGTAAAACTGCTCTAACAAATAGTCTATTAATTTGTTTTTAAAGTGAAGTTTCTAGAGAAAAGGAGAAAGGGTTAGATTTCTTTTCATGCTTTTTTCTTTTTTCTATTCTCTTCTGTATCTATATTCTGATTTTTCAGTATCATCTCATTTAAAAAGAAAAACTAATCCTGGGTAATAGGCCAGATTGCCTAATTAAAGTTCCTGTCTGTGGCAGTAGAAAATGTGTGGTTTTAAGATTAGTTTAAAATGAAGGGACCACGAAGATGTTCCTCTGCGTTAACTGCGACTGATCTGGAATTGGTTTGGTATGTTTGCAGCAACAGCATTACGACTACCGTCCAGGACACTGTCTACTCCAACCAGCTCCACGTTTCAGAGAGCCTACTATGTGCAGTCACACAGTGCCAAGTCCTGTGTCTGTATCACACAGTGCCCCCTGGATAGTCTCACAAACACACTGCCTGGGAAGGAACGTGCCTGGCACACACGCGGGAGAGCGAGCTTAGAGAGTGAAGTACGTGACGCCTGAACAGAGGCTTGAGCTGCCCAGGTCCACCGAGAGGCGGGTTTCCCCGTAACTGTACAGTCGGGCCCTGGGATCCGGGGCGTCCGCGTAGCGGGTTCTCCCACTGCCGACCACAAACTTCACGCGCCATCCGGCATTAGTGAATCCGCGGATGCGGGACCCGCGGATACGGGGGCCGTGGGACTCCGGCATCCGCGGATACCGAGGGGCGACTGTAATTTGCCCCGCGTCAAACAGGCACAAACGGCAGGGCAGGACTCGCGTCTGAAGCCGGTGCCCCTCTCTCCCCTCCTCCCA